TTGATTTGATATGGACCCTATTAATAAAACAGGAAAACAATCTTTAAAACTCTTTGGATAATATTGATGAGCTTTACATAGTATTAAATCCATTCCGAGAGTCGGTGGAATTTCTTTCCTCCCAAAAGTAATCGACAATAAACGTTAGGTTATTATTTTGCAGTGAAATAGAACCCGTATACAAATCAATAGATTTGATAGCTCAGATATTATTTGCTTAAAAGAAAATATGAAAAAAAAGCTTGACCATAGGTTTCCCATTACTGAACTTCAAGTTATTTTATATTTTTATTAATAAAATTATATTTATAACATTAGATATTAGCGACTCTACTTGATCTCAGATTTCAAAATCTTAAAATTGTTTTAGAAATTTGAATTCTACGATATCATTGCAATTTTTAATTAGACATTTAAAACTTTTAGAGCATGATAGAAACATTCCCTTCCAAGCAACTATTATAAGAACATTAGTAATCTCAACAAGAATGTCATATTTTGCTGAGCCAACATAATATCCCAGAAGAGGATGCATTAACATTTGGAAGAAACAGCGACTGGAACTTTTTAGGCTGCTAATTTAGCTAGGAAGGTTCTTTGTATACCTGCAACCAGTACACCCAGCGAAAGAATTTTTTCCATTGCTGAATTAATACTCAATGCTAAAAGGACTTCTTTATGTCCCACGGATTTTGATAAATTACTATTTATTCATAATTATAATTTTGCTAAATCTGAATTCTGATTTATTATATTTCATACTTTATATTTTGCTTGCATTCCAAATTTATATACTAATATGTGTTGTTTATGTGATTATGGTCTGAGTCAAAATGCAATTCCTTAGTCTATCTGAGAATGAGAAAATACATAAATTTAATTTGGAGTGAGACAGGAAATAATTTAAGAAATGAATTAAATTACCAATATGTTAAAAAGAACGCCCAAATAAATTATAATTTTTATTTTAAATAAATATCGCCCCGCCGCATCCGTCGACATAGTAGGCGGTATCGAAATCATGAAATAATTAAAAAATACCGCCACCGTCAATTGAGACATCGGCACACAGGTCTATAGTATTTTACATTTTATCTTAAATAGTCTGTGCCAATATTATGTATCGGATCGTGGCCGATATTTTTTTAAAAATCGATGCAGTTATTATTGTTTATGGTTATTTTATGATTGTATATTTTAATTTGATACATATGGCGCGACAAAATTTCCAATTTCTAAAACATAAATTTAGGAATTAGTAAGGTAAATAGAGCTAATGGTTACCGTTGTGTACACGAATAAAAAATGAATAAAAGGAACCAATATTCAATTTATTTATATGTAATATTTTTATAAAATTCGAATTATTTTTTGTTTTGTTATGAAAAGAAGATCTATAATATATTTAACGAGCAATCAGCCATAAAGATTGCACATATTTTAATGACTAAATTTTGAGGAATAAAAGTTTCAAATAATCTCATGATAATATACCAAACATCACCTTGGTCATGAGAAACGGCAAATTTTTAAGTGTTTCTTGTTTTGCGCACATTTTGATTTAGTTATTCTTATGCATATAAAATATTGATTTTTTTATGACATTGGTTAAAAGATAGATGGTATATATCGGTTATCTGATCGGTTTTGAACGAATAACGGAAAATGTCCTATAATTTAAAATAAAACCTTTATATTTTTTTAGCACATTTCTTAATTTTAAACAAATATTTATTAAATACATTTACCATTCCTTCCGGCGCTCCCGTTGAACACTTATTCAGTGTCGCTGAAAAATTTTGTCGTTATATGTTAATATATTTTTTTATAATATATATTGCTATTTTTAATTATTAATAAATTATTTCCTAAAAAAGGTCGAAATAGTATCGACTATTTTATAAAGGGTATCGATAGATTTTTGATATCGTCTGACTCGTTTAGGATATATATTGATATCAAAACATTTAAAAATAGCATTTGCATCTCTGCTTTGTTAATAAAATCTATCCTAAAGAATTCAATTAATTTTTTACAGTTTAATTCGTTATTTGCATAAGGCCATTTCCAGAGAGAACGTTTTTTCAAAGCGGTTTTGGGTAATGTTACCAGCAATCAAATTTTTATTTCCAAAAAAAATGTTAACTTTTCGAATTAATTTTTTTATATAATATAATATATTAAAAATAAACAATCCAGATCCCCATTTTTTAATCGTAAATAGAAAACAAACTGGTTTGATTTTAATAACGATTAAATGGCGTTTTGAAATGTGGGTCAGGCTCAGGATTGCTTTTTAAAAAAATATATTATATAAAAAAAATTAATTCTAGAATTTAACATTTTTTTTTGGAAATAAAATAAAATTGCTGGTAACATTACCCATAAACCGCTTTGAAAAAAACGTCCTGTCTGGAAATGGCCTAACGAATAATAATATCTAATTTATGAATTATTTTATTTATACTAATACCATAATATGATTTATAATTTTATGAATGCTAAATTGTTTGATTCAAAGATATGAAAGCCCGGGCCAGGCAAAAAATTCATTGGGTCGGGCAATTTGCACATAAAAAATAAGGGCCTGACAATTCATGTATAAAAAAATTGAGCCAAGCCTCACAAATTTCTGATTTTTCCTAAGGACCAACCCAGGTATTTAAATTTTGACATAATTTTTTTGGAATTTAAGCTAATTTAATATTTCGATTAATACTATTTTAAAATAAATTGCATGTTTATTTCTATATATTTTAAGAGCTGTAAAGTGGTGTGTTAAGTGGAGGGGGGGGGGCTACGATTTTTTATATATCATCAAAAAATATCATATATATCATAGACCTGCAGGCTGCCGTATTTTAATTTTTTAAATATATCCAGACCTATCTTGAATTTTTTTTAAACACCCGGTCTATTTTAAAAAAAATATTTTAAATTGCCATTATTACTATAAAATTAAAAATAAATATAATATATTTTTAAAAATCCTGGAAATGCAAAATATAAAACCCGAGCCGGGCCTAAAAAATCCGGGCCGGTCTTGTAAATGGTACCTTTGCAGGTTTCTGATATATAAAATCGATTTTTTTTATTACTAATATGAATAAAATCTTTATTTATATTATATATTAAAAATAATGTAACAAATTTAATACCAAATAAATAAAAATTTTTAAAAAAATCCATAAATCTTTCATTTATTCTTTTTCTTTGGGCTATATTTTTCTTTAAGATGATTTCATTCGCCCGCCATATTCCTTTTAGATATTTTGATACATATATTTAGAATCCATTCGGATATCTAAGGGCCATTAATAATTAACATATAAGTATCGACACAGTTAAGGAATTTAAAAAAAAATTTATTGTCGAAGCCCATATATTCAATTAATTTAAATCTTTGACAGATTCTTTTCATTTGTTTTTCGCCAAATCGCTCATCTAGGTTATAATAGGTCAATTCTTTTTGAATAAAGTATATATTGGAAAGAATTTATTTTAATTTATTCAAGCCATTTTATCCTCGTTTTCTAAGCTATCAATTAAACGGAACTGCATGTCTTCTAGAGAATTACAAATTGGTCTCTTAAATTATATTTTTAAATAATTTCTACCGAGCGACATCTGTAAATATTTACCTACTTTTAACGTCTACGTGAGAGGAGGGTAGAGCGATTTGCCTCCAATTTTTTAAGGGCTAAAGGGGGTAGGTATAAAAATAAGCGCTATTTGTTGATTAAAGATAAAAATAATTTAATTTATTAATAAATATATATTTCTCATTCATTCACAGATAGTACAGTTTTAAGTTATACATGCCCATCTAATATTTAGAATACGGTTAGCAACAACTAGTTGATTATCACCAACTAATAATTATTTATTACTGCATTAAATTACCATGAGGCCTGAAAGCATTTAATTAGAATTGTCTTGAGGTTATGAATGGTGGCTCATTATATTTTTTTTAATAGGTTGTTGGAGCATAATGGATGGTGAAATATCGCGGCCAAAGGGTGTAATTTTTTAGGGGGGTAGTAGATTTCGTAGGGGGTTTGCCTCCAATCAATTTTCTGTCAGATGCTGCCAATAATTGGCAAAAAAATGGAACCTGACAAAAAATATCCTAATTTATTATTTGTTTTATGGTAAATTACAATCCTGCCTATTTGAACATTTCTAACATTACTTGGAAAAAGATTAAACTTATTATTTGGAAGTAAATGTTTTAAGAGCTCTTCATTGCATTAAAAATAAGAAATGAAAATTTAAAAAAGCAGTAAAGGTATTAATAGAAGCTAAATATTTTACTGTTCAATTTAATATAACAAGATTATCATTTTGATAAAGGACCAATTTTTGCTATTTAATTGCCTCAAGTTTGGTTTTTATTAATTTTACAAACTAAAAATAAACAAGCTCTCAAAAGGTGGGAAAGAAAGCAACTTTGTATTGTAGCAAATAAATATTCTTTTATTATTTGATGTCATTTATCTTCTCTTATAAAATAACCCTTATAATAGTTGTCATGATTTAACAAGAAAACAAATTCTACAAAAAAATTCAATGTCATTAGATACTTACAAAAAAATTTTCAATAGTTGCCATAAGATAAATTTGAAAATGAATAAATTTTATTACCTATTTTTTATTTAATCCTTGTTTTCTATTAACTAACAACTAAGTATTTTATTTTAAATAAATGCCTTGCACTATTTATAAATTTAACCAAACTTTTTAGTGCATGTTCCATACTCTGGCAAATATATCCAATTATTGTCCATTTTAGAAGTCAAACTTAGGACTAAAGAATTAGTAATTCTTATCTCATTTATGATTCAAAAAAGATTTTTTGATTAAAAATCTAAGCCATGCTAAAAAAAATTGAGATTGGCTTATGCCAAAAGAAATTTGTTCAAGAAAATTAAATTTAACATTAGTTTTAATTTTATTATGTATATTTAGCAGACTAATTTTATTATTTAATTATTTTCTAGTTATAGCTATACTTGGACTTGCATTATTATCAATTTTCTTTAGCCTTATACTCTCAATATTTCGTTCAAAATACCAGGGTTATCCATATAGCTTTTTGTTCAAGTGAATAATCGAAACATTAGCAATAAATATCTAGCTTTGCAATCTCAAGATTATATGAATATTTATTTTATCTATATTGTATGTTATTATATATTTATATTTGTTATTCTATGTTGTAGTAAAAAATATTGTTTCATTTGTTATATATATGCTTTTGATACATGCTGAAATAAAGATTGCAATTAAAAAAATTTGATATTTTATTAAAAATATAAATCATTAAGAAAATATTCTTAAGAAGTTTTAAATATTATCTTATGGTTCCAAATATTTATACAGAACATTTGAGTAACAATTAATTATAACATTTTATTTGTAATAAAAACAACAAAAATCAAAAAGAAATAAGCATTAAAAGCTGTAATATATTTTTTTATTTACATTGGATGAAGGTTTTGATGCATAATTTTTGTTGATTCCCAAATATAAAATTCGCATAACAATAATTCAATTTACCGGTTATTTTTTATCAGACATATTTTTAAATCCAACAGCAGTCTCAGTGCCCATTGCTTTTTGTATTGCCACATAAATTGTCTCTTCATTGTTGAACTTGTCCATTATATCCTTTTTTAAATCACCTTCTAACTTCAAATCTTGTCTAGTATTACCTTTATCATCCATTAATTCCATATATCCTTCATCATCAATATTTACAAGTTGTAACTCTTGTCTTAACACATTGGGTACATCCATATTATGAGTTGAAGGGCAAATATCCTCATATTTTTTACCAGAAAAAATATCTATTCCTACTAAATGTACTTTAGCATGCCCATGTTTACCAGTTTTTGATGTTGACATCTCAACTATTTTGCATGGACGACCTTTTAGTACTACCAATCCATTTTTCCTTAAAGCTGAGCATTGCATTGGAAACGTCTCTGAAGCTCCAGAAGAAACCTGCTCGAATTCCTCATCTGCCATCTTAACAATATGATAATTATATATATATATATATATAATTAAATAAAACTATTTGAATACTTACATTTTCTAATTATGCAAAATGTTGGACGTAAAAAAGAAAAGCGCTATTTACCGGATACAAGCAACACGCGGATACAAATAATAAACAAATTAAATTGGATTTATTTATTCATTTTTAGACAATTATTTCTAACGTAGAAGAAAAAGAAATTATAATAAACAATACTTGTGAAAAAATTATATTTTTTAATAATTATTTATTGTAGATTATATAAATTTTTTATCATATACAAATATACTAGATGAAATAATTATAATCTGAATTAAAAGTTTGGCAGGTCCAAAAGAATCTTGATAAGTATAATATTCTTTTCAAAGTGTTAAATTTAGTAATAATCTTACTATTTAAATGATACAATATAATACTTTCATCCTCTGTTAAATAGAAGTGTCTTCGTATAATATAGTATATATTATTATTTTAGAAATATACATTATATTTTGAAAAAACTATTAGTTCTGAAATTCAATATTATATATGATATATTATGACAAACAGCGTCTACATGAGCGGGAGAGATAGGAACCGTAACCTTTGCCTTATTGTTTTGAATAATCTTAAGGCTTGGGGTCCAAATGATCCACAGGTATCTGAAACTACCGGAACAAACAAAACATTATTAAGGTTGTTATATTTGTTTGTTTTTGTGTTTTCGGCTTTCGTGATAGAGTTGGAAGAAAAAGATCTGGCAAAACAATCCACGCAAGTATAATCCCAGGCGAGAGATAGACCTTGGTTTCAAGGGACTAGCATCATATCATCTCATCTGGTTTGATTGTCGGGGCTGAGGCCGGATGGTTCCAGGGTGGAGGAAATATTTGAGGATTTCAAGGTTCTGTTGATAATTGAATTGATAGCATGGTCTGAACAATTATTCTGATTTTAATTTTCTCATTATATTATGCATACAAAATAAACTGGCATAATTAAAACAATACAAGACATTTCTAAAAATAAATAATTTTTTTAATACAAAATCTATTTATTACAATATAAAATATTTTCGATTGCTAATGCGTCTAAAGAATTACAAGTGATAAAAAAGATTAATAATTCATACATATGTCTCAATTGATAATAGTTTTGAAAAACCACATAATGCAATAATATAATTCTTAGCAACTTACATTGACAAAATGTTATCAAACTAATATAACTCTCTATTACCATTTTACACATTTATAGAAGACTAATAAGGAAAAATTTATAGGCCTAAACCAAATCAACAATTCTTGAAGAAGAGAGTATAAACGACCAATCCAAATAATAAAAATATTAAGTGATTAGAGCTTCCTTTTAGATGACATGATGGTAGCTAGATAAGTAATCGATAAAAGATTATCGTCCATTTTAAATGATATATAATATATAAACCACTACACAGTTGACCATTATTGTTTATCTATAATATACAATCATATGTTCTCAGCCGTTGTAGTAATAATCTTAAATTACATAGCAACACAAATAATAGATGCTGGTTAATTTGCAGTAATAGCCATGACACTCACGGTGTGACCTAGTATCAGAATATATTGGATAAATTGATAAAATAAAAACACTAAAAATTTTGGAAGAAATAATTTTGCAAATATATTGAAGCCTTGAGTTATTTACACGGCAAGGATGCCATATTAAATGAAACATTTTTGAACTATAAAATAAGGACTAGAATGATATGATGAAACAATTAAGAATTTATATATTGTCGCACCACCTCTAGTTAGTATATTATATCTTAAAATATAAGTATTTTGTAAAAATATCAAAAATAATTTGTATTAAAAATTTAACTCATACCTGATTTTGAAAAAGAAAAAAAATAGCCCTAACGTAAAAAAGAAAAGAAATCAAATTTATTACCTATTGTAGGATGAATAATTATGTGTTTAATTTTTAACACTGTTTATAACTAAATAGATGGCGTTAAATACTTGAAAGCAAATTAGTACTATATTTATTTTATTAGTAAAATTCATCATAATATTAGCCAGTGGCGTAGCTACGGGGGTGTTTTTCGGGTTTGGACCCCTCCCAGAGCAAAAATTTTTTTTAGATTATACGTTCAAAAGATTAAAAGTGATTTTATATGAATTATATTTTTCTGGTTTTGATGTTTGTGGAAGGATATTATATTAATATTGAAATTATTCTGGATAGTATTATTATAAAGTCATTGAGAATAATCTACTAAATTATAATAACATATTATTGATGCATTTAAAAAATATATTTATTATATATTATCGAAGATATGGTTATGATTTGTAAGATAAACCCGGCCGAAGGCCGGGCAAAAGGGCCGAAGGCCCTTTAAAGGGGTCTGGGGGCGAAGCCCCCAGCTTTTATATGTATGGACCCCCTCTAAGGAAAATTCCTAGCTACGCCACTGATATTAGCTGTAATATTATATAACTGTCAAATACGTCTCTAAAAGTGGCATTTTATCTAGTATTTTATAATCAACTGTATATAAGAGAGGATTATAAATTATATGTCTACTTACTTACTTTTTATTATACTTATTTGGACCTTGAATAATTTTAGGATAGGTATGATAATAAAATTTATAAATAAATATACAGTTGATTAGTCATTTTGAACTCTGCTAATTACAATATTAAATTTTTTAGTTTTCAATTAATAAATAATTATATTTATTTAATTAGGGTTATATAATAATTTAAATAATAATAGTCAATTAAGCGTCAACTGTTAATGCTAAATTAATATTTAGTGAGTGATATTGATATTTAATTTTTAACACAAAATTTGATTGCTCGCTGACATAGTGAAAATATAATTTATATGTATTAATTTAATCTAATATTTAAAATAATAGTATTCGTTTAATAAATATTTAAAATAATAGTATTCGTTTAATAAATATTTAGCTAGTCTTATTAATTTTTAAATAATAAAATTAAATCTATATTTTACTTAATAGAATTATAAAAGAAATCTTACAGGTGGCAATCTAAAAAAAAATTTTTTGCTTCAGAGGGCTATTCAAATTTTCAAGGGGGCTTGAGCCCCTGCGCGCCCTCTCCTAGCGACGCCACTGTATACGATATGTTCAAGTTTCCAAAAAGATCTAATGTCCTCAAAAATATTCTGGCAAAGGAAGAATTTGTCAATAATCATCATAAACTTGTGAAAATGTGCCCTACAAGATGGATCCTACGACATGAATCGGTTGCAGTTTTTCTTGAATTAGTTGACCCGATAATTGTTGCATAGGAGGAAATATGTGGATGGACAGATACATCAGTGGTGGCAGAAGCCAATGGAATCTTGAAAGCGATTCAAGATCCTGAGATTTTATTGGCCATTAATTGCATTAACACTCTCTTCTGCCACACAATATTATTATGCAGAGCCTTGCAAAGAGTGAATCAAGATATGGTTCAGGCATTTATCTTAGCTGAAGATGCATATAATGCTATTTTACAGATAAGAAAAAATGCTCATTGTGAATTTAGAACGATTTTTAACAAAGTTCAAAAAAAAGTGCAATCTTATAATATGATAATAAGCTGAATAATATTTCCTTACAATCAGTTGAGGAGTATTACAAAATTATTATTTTTATACCATTTATGGACACTTTTTTAATTCAGATTAAAGAACGTTTATTAAACCATAAACTTTTGCTAAGTAACTTTCAAATATTGTTATCCTCTAATCCATCTGTGAACATTTCGGATGACATTAGAAATAAAATTCAGTATTTATATAATTTTTATTTGCAAGATATGGTAGGTAAAGAAAAAATTATATAAAAAAAAGGTGTAGAAAACGCTAACAATATAAAGCAAAAAAAAGGCCAAGATCCAAAATAAAAAAATATAACTTACTGAAAATACAAAATAACCCGAAACATCAATAATACTAAATTTGTAGACTATTAAATTGTCACTTTTTATTTCAGAGAAAAAACTAATGATAAAAAAAACATGGTTTTATCAATTTTCATATAAAAAATTAATAATATATAAAAATCACTATATATCAAAAACGATAAAAAAATCTTATTTTAAATGATTGACATTTTAAATATTTAAAAAAAATAGTACAATTTATGACATGCCACCCCTTTATGGGCCAATGGCATGTACATTAAAAAAATATAACTGCATACTATTACTAATTTTCCGATGTATCATGTAAAATTAAGCGATATATATAATTAGAATCGTGAATATCGCGGACTTTGTGGGAGTCATAACGGTAGCAGTAATTGATTCTCCCACAAATCCATGGCATCATGATGTTGTAACAACGTCGAGGATGCTGATGTGCAAGGAGCGGTCTCATGAAGAGTGGTCATCGCTCTCTGGAGAATGTCCTCCGCCGATGGGGTTGATGCGAGACTGGATCGACTACTGAACGTTCCTATTAACCCTCCTCTGTTGGCCGACGGAGCCCGGTGAACGGTAGGAAGCGACAGTTGAACCTGCGTTGGTTCGCACGGCCTTCGTTTATTATTTCTTGCGGATCTGCCCGTAGAATTGGTATTTATCGAAGCTAGGGGTTGGCGAGTATCTCTACTTATAACGTGACACTGGCTGCGGATATGCCCGTCGCTGTTACAGTTGTAGCATCTTCGCTTCCTAGGTCCTACGGACGTCATCGCATTTTCTTGAGATACAGGGGACTGGATGGTCATACCGGTATTTTTTGGTATGAGCGTCACTGAGGTAACAGGAGCCGAAATCTATTAACTGACTGTTAGTATGCATGGTGACGATCTTTTGCTGTTGATGAATATTCTCAAGAAAGTTGTACGCCAGTTAAGAAAATTGATTAATACACCAAAAGATTCTATAAATATAAATTATTTCTCTTTTTTTTTTTAAATGTGAAGGGGAGAAAAAAAACTTTTTGGGAATTAAAAATATAAAAAAAACTTTTATGAATATATATGGAAAAATTTTCATATATATCGTGTGTATTTGCATAAAAAAAAACTTATGGTATAGTGCAAACTTAATGAGGCGCATACATGTTTATAAACTTTTCTTATTTCCCACATGTGCCTCAAATATCTCTATGTTATTATCACCAATATCCCTTGGTGTGAGCGTCAAGTAAAACCAAATAAAACAAAAGTATTTG